ACTTCAGTTGTGATACAAACCTTATCAAAACATATAGGCCTATGGGCTAGGCTACATGAGGTGTGCAACTATGATTCGAACAAGTCGCAAAAAAAAAAGGCATTGTTTCTTATGACAAAATATAATTCACAAGTGATAGGCTAATATTGTCACCCATCAGACTATTCTTGATTTAATCTTGTCTTTACATATACTAAATAATATATGTGTGACATTTGTTTTGATTTAGAATGGACCATTATCATGCACCTGTATCGAAACAGGGGCAGCGGGAAAAAATACATGGCGTCTATGCACTAAAATAGCGAATGGAGGACGCTTTTCCCCATGGTTTATTTTCATGCCAGCCAGGTAGGCTATACTCCTGTTGTAAATATAAGCAATGTGATTGATATTAGGAAAGTTGAGAAATAAATATAAGGCCTAGCCTATAGAAAGCTGATGGGAACCTCCTATTTTTATTAGAGGCCATCACTCTGTTTTCTCCCGCAATTGCATAGCCTATAGAAATGTTGCGCAACATGAGCTCATGGGCTCTCATTAAGTGTTTGATTAGATTTTCGAAAACATTTGCATTGATGTCAGAGCGATAAGAGGGACAATAGAGTGCTGAGTACCAGGCAGTTAGCAAGTTTGGTAGGCTACTAATGACCAGCAGCAGCATCAGAGCTTGGAGAAGCCTAATTACCATTACTAAATGGTCATGTGGAATTTGACTGCATTCATGATTCGTGACCACAGGTGTGGCGGTAATAGGTCACCGCAACAGCCCTAGTCCAAACAAACCAAGACAGTTGTGAAGAGGGCACGACAACACCTTTTCCCCCTCAGGAGACTGAAAAGATTTGGCATGGGTCCTCAGATCCTCAAAAAGTTCTACAGCTGCACCATCGAGAGCATCCTCACCTGTTGCATCACTGCCTGGTATGGCAACTGCTCGGCATCCGACCGTAAGGCGCTACAGAGGGTAGTGTGTACGGACCAGTACATCACTGGGGCCAAGCTTCCTGCCATCCAGGACCTATATACTAGGCGGTGTCAGAGGAAGGCCCAAAAAATTCTATACACACACAAAAGTATGTGGACACCCCTTCAAATTAGAGGATTCGGCTATTTCAGCCACACCCGTTGCTGACAGGTGTATAAAATTGAGCACAGAGCCATGCAATCTCTATAGACAAGCTCAGTGAATTTCAACGTGGCCCCGTCATAGGATGCCACCTTCCCAACAAGTCCGTTCGTAACATTTCTACCCTGCTAGAGATGCCCCGGTCAACTGTAAGTGCTGTTATTGTGAAATAGAAACGTTTAGGCGCAACAATGGCTCAGCCGCGAATGGGTAGGCCACACAAGCTCACAGAACGGGACCGCAGAGTGCTGTAGCGCATAGCTTGTAAAAATCGTCTGTCCTCGGTTGCAACACTCATTACTGAGTTCCAAACATCCTCTGGAAGAAACGTCAGCACAATAACTGTTTGTCGGAGCTTCATGAAAAAGGGTTTCCATGGCCGAGCAGCCGCACACAACCCTAATATCACCATGCGCAATGCAAAGCATCAGCTGGAGTGGTGTAAAGCTCGCCGCCATTGGACAAATCTGGTTTTGGCGGATGCCAGGAGAACGTTACATGCCGAATGCATAATTCTAACTGTAAAGTTTGGTGGAGGAAGAATAATGGTCTGGGGCAGTTTTTCATGGTTCGGGCTATGCCCCTTAGCTCCAGTGAAGGGAAATCTTACAATTACATTCTTGATGATTCTGTGCTACCAACTTTGTGGCAACAATTTGTGGAAGGCCCTTTCCTGTATCAGCATGACAATGCCCCTGTGCACAAAGCGAGGTCCATACAGAAATGGTGTGTCGAGATCTGTGTGGAATAACTTGACTCGCCTCCACAGAGCCCTGACCTCAAACCCATCGAACACCTTTGGGATGAATTGGAAAGCTGACTGCAGGCGTAATCGCCCAACATCAGTGCCCGACCTCACTAATGCTCTTGTGGCTGAATGGAAGCAAGTCCCTGCAGCAATGTTCCAACAGCTAGTGGAAAGCCTTACCAGAAGAGTGGAGGTTGTTATAGCAGCAAAAGGGGGGACCAACTCCATAGAGCAGGTGAATGCCAAGAGTGTGCAAAGCTGTCATCAAGGCAAAGGTTGGCTACTTTGAAGTATTTAAAATAAATTATATTTTGATTTGTTTAACACTATTTTGGTTACTACATGATTCCATGTGTTATTTCATTATTTTGATGTCTTCACTATTATTTTACAATGTAGAAAATAGTAAAAATAAAGAAAAGCCCTTGAATGAGTAGGTGTGTCCAAACTTTTGACTGGTACTGTATATATACAGTTTAAGTCGGAAGTTTACATACACTTAGGTTGGAGTCATTAAAACTCGTTTTTCAACCACTACACACATTTCTTGCTAACAAACTATAGTTTTGGCAAGTCGGTTAGGACATCTACTTTGTGCATGACACAAGTCATTTTTCCAACAATTGTTTACAGACAGATTATTTCACTGTATCACAATTCAAGTGGGTCAGAAGTTTACATACAAAGTTGACTGTGCCTTTAAACAGCTTGGAAAATTCCAGAAAATGATGTCATGGCTTGAGAAGCTTCTGATAGGCTAATTGACATCATTTGAGTCAATTGGAGGTGTACGTGTGGATGTATTTCAAGGCCTACCTTCAAACTCAGTGCCTCTTTGCTTGACATCATGGGAAAATCAAAAGAAACCAGCCAAGACCTCAGAAAAAATTGTAGACCTCCACAAGTCTGGTTCATCCTTGGGAGCAATTTCCAAATGCCTGAAGGTACCACGTTCATCTGTACAAACAATAGTATGCAAGTATAAACACCATGGGACCACGCAGCCGTCATACCGCTCAGGAAGGAGACACGTTCTGTCTCCCAGAGATGAACGTACTTTTGTGCGAAAAGTGCAAATCAATCCCAGAACAGCAAAGGACCTTGTGAAGATGCTAGAGGAAACAGGTACAAAAGTATCTATATCCACAGTAAAACGAGTCCTATATCGACATAACCTGAAAGGCCGCTCAGCAAGGAAGAAGCCACTGCTCCAAAACCGCCATAAAAAAAAGCCAGACTACGGTTTGCAACTGCACATGGGGACAAACTTTTTGGAGAAATGTCCTCTGGTCTGATGAAACAAAAATAGAACTGTTTGGCCATAATGACCATTGTTATGTTTGGAGGAAAAAGGGGGTTCTTGCAAGCCGAAGAACACCATCCCAACCGTGAAGCACGGGGGTGGCAGCATTATGCTGTGGGGGTGCTTTGCTGCAGGAGGGACTGGTGCACTTCGCAAAATAGATCATGGCATCATGAGGAAGGAAAATTATGTGGATATATTGAAGAAACATCTCTAGACATCAGTCAGGAAGTTAAAGCTTGGTCGCAAATGGTCTTCCAAATGGACAATAACCCCAAGCATACTTCCATAGTTGTGGCAAAATGGCTTAAGGACAACAAAGTCAAGGTATTGGAGTGGCCATCACAAAGCCCTGACCTCAATTCTATAGAACATTTGTGGGTAGAACTAAAAAAGTGTTTGCAAGCAAGGAGGCCTACAAACCTGACTCAATTACACCAGCTCTGTCAGGAGGAATGGGCCTAAATTCACCCAACTTATTGTGGGAAGCTTGTGGAAGGCTACCCAAAACGTTTGACACAAGTTAAACAATTTAAAGGCAATGCTACCAAATAATAATTGAGTGTATGTAAACTTCTGACCCACTGGGAATGTGATGAAAGAAATAAAAGCTGAAATAAATCACTCTCTACTATTATTCTGACATTCACATTCTTAAAATAATGTGGTGATCCTAACTGACCTAAAACAGGGAATTTTTACTAGGGATTAAATGTCAGGAATTGTGAAAAACTGAGTTGAAATGTATTTGGCTAAGGTGTATGTAAACTTCCGACTTCAACTGTATATGAAGGCTAACTGTCTGTTGTTACAGATATTACCGTAGCACAAGCAAGACGCAGTTTACACATTAAATTGTGGCAAAATGATCAGCGTTTTGTTTGATGTAATCTTACATTTTAGTCATTTAGCAGACGCTCTTATCCAGAGCGACTTACAGTTAGTGGGGTACTTTTTTTTCCCTCATAATTAATCTTCATAGTTATGCTGCCATATAGCCAGAGTTGCTGGAAAAATAACTGCCTCCCAATAACCAATGTTTGCACTTTAAATCACTAGTGACTGCCCGTCTGCGTCTTGCTTGTTGATATGCTGCGTACATATAGCTTGCCTAAATAGCTGCATGAAGGCTAACTCCCCTCTTGAAAAAATAACATGAAATCGCTAGACTGCCTGTTGTGTCGTGCTTATGTCTGCTTTGATTACTGTTACAACAGACAAATAACTAAGTTTGTTCGAACAAGCGGCAACGGAGTCACGGAGAGCGTGAGCACTGAGCAGCAGCTGAAAGGACTCTGATGGGGAAGCGGGCAGCGGAACCCACACATGCGCAGAAATCTCTGTATCTTTAGTCCAAAACTTCCAGGTTCCAGAAAATCCGGAACCGCAGCCAGTCCGTAGAAAAAAAGACGGTACTTTTTAATTAATTAACATTCAAATTGAAGGGGAATTGGCGCTTTGATATGATGAAATCAAAGTGCTTTTGACTTTAGAACTTAAAGAGAGCGGTTGTTGTCATCCTCCGGGCTATTTCGAGACATTTATGGCAGTTATTATAAGTAATGCTTTTATAATGATAGGTTACATTAACCTCTGCTCTGTTGCAGACTCTGTTAGCCTTTTTTCAGGGATATCTTTTAAATTGTGCTCTCTTGCTGTGCTTTAAACTTAAAAGGAGTTGGGTGGGGGTTTGTGCTGGGCTGTGTTAAACTGGGCTGTGGGGCTGAATGTGTGGGAAGTACAAGGGTCTAACTTATAATTTGGGATGTCTGGGAGCCGCTCCATAAGCCAGTGCTTTCCAGGTTACGGCAGGCTAATCAGGTCCAGTCGCACTCTGATAACTGGGCTGGGCTGAGAACTTGGAACACGGACGGGGGTTGGTTCGGAGGGGGGTAAATGTTGCAGTATTTGGTGCAGGGGGCCGTGGTGAAGCAACACCCTGTTGCTCAGTCAATTAGGCTGAGCAGGCCCTGGACATTTTAGGGGCGCCTCTGGCAGTGTCATTGATGGAGAGGTTAGAGAACAGGCCAGGACCACCCGGAATTCAACAGCCCCCAGCCCCCTCATTCCCCATACCACCCCCCAATCCCAAAAACACACACACTGACTAACACACAGGAACACACACACAACCCCCCAGCTCCATCTAGGGAGTACGGACAAGGGGATTAGGAATATAAAAAAAATAAAGCTGAATTATACACAGAGGGTTACATTTTAATGCAATCTAAGAAAGCGTAGAATAAAACGCATCACATTCACATAAACACTGACCCACACAAGTTCACTTCCAATACTCCTAACACACTTTAAAAAAAACATTCCTCCCTGCTTTAATACTACATGGCTATTAGCATGTGTTATTTCCTGCTTCTTAGGGTTGCAAAACTCAGGTACCTTTCCCCAAATTCCCAGGTTTTCCAGAAATCCCAGTTGGGAAGTTTCCCAGATTTCCTACATAGTCTCCACGTCTTCCAGGAATCCTCCAAACAGGATTTCTGGAAAACCTGGGAATTTTGGGTTACCGGAATTGTGCAACCCTACTGCTGCTGGATGAAGTGGAGGTGAGTGGGACTTGAGTGTGTGATGGCAAGGTGAGGTGAGGCAGTAGTATGCAGTAGTATGCTCACCCTCTGGCTCTATTCGCTGGGCACTCCCCACCAGGCAGTATTTGATGTCTGCACCTCGGCCGATCACAGCATTACTGCAGATCACACTGCCCTGGATGTTACACCTGTAGAACAAACACACAGCACCATCAAGCAGCAGTCCCCTTGACAACTAGTACACTATCACTCTGTGCAGCTTGTGGGTACTGGCGAAGACATCGCAGAGGAGTTGATTTCTGGCCAGTGGACACTTGCACTTGCTCTCTGACCTAATGCAAAGTTAAAATCCTGTTCTTGTGTACTATATTTGAACATCTACTCAACCAGGCTTACATTTCAAGGAGGACATTTTCTGGACGTTATAACTTTATGTGCACAGTTTGATGTTTACTTAACATGCCTGGGCCAGGCCAGCTTTTTTTCTTAGAGCATGAAGAACATATTTACAATGAACATTTCTCTTTCATGTCTTCAACTAATTGCACAGCAGAGGGAGGGCCTTGTCCTTTCCTGCCTCTAACCCCTCCCTTAAAGGAAACATGACCCCTCAGAGTTTTCAGCTGTCTTGTTTTATTTTCATAAAGAGACTAGATTAGCATACATATTAAAGAAAAACACCAGCCTCTACCTCGTGTGTGCAAATGATACACTATCATCAACATTTAGAATACACCAATGGTATTCGATACCGTCAGGTTTATTTTTTCTTTTGTTGAGGGCAGGGGGTGCCGAAACATTATAGACAGGTGTTCATCAAGGCTGAGACCAAGCACACACCCCATGTCGAAATAAACCCCCCATTCTGGATCCTATGTTGTAATTATTATGGGTACTGAGCTCAGTCTAAAGAGGGTTTCAGACATTAGGCTTGTTTGATACTCATTCATTTGAGTGGGCTAGCAATTATTTACGGTAAGTAGACATTGATCTTTCTTTTAATTCTTAATTAACTGTTAATTTACTCAGTTTTAAACATATTAATTGTTCTTTCATTCCCTTGATTGTGTCTATTCTACATTTACACAGATGTTAAATGCTGTTTAAATAAAGTTTGATATGATTTGATCAATAAAATATAAAATCCTGAATTAATCAATGAATCTCAATTCAGGATTTCATCTCATCTTCCCATGTGTAACTGCCATAGTGAAACTCCAGACCCTGGGTGGCAGGCAGAGGCATGCTAACAATCAGAGTATCAAAAGTTGGAAAGTCTCTGAGGTGGTGGTGCAGTGTTGGGTTAGGGTTAGTTCAGGAGAGCTGGGGAACCAACAACCCTACCCGGGGATGGTTGATGCTCTGCTCCACCTGGGTTGGCAGAACGGGCTGAGGCTGAGGCCACCATAAGTCTCCTCTGGAGGATAGAAACAGACTGAGCTCTGTGCGGCGGGCTGGGGAGCAACATGTACGTCTCTCCCTCCTAGAGACTCTGACGAGCTTGGCCCTGCAGCCACTAACACAGGCAGGTTTGTATTGGCTGCTGCTGCACAGGGGCATTCTATTCAGGTGGTGGTGGTAGGGTTGGAGGGAGAGGAAGGGGGGTGAGCAGGAGGGAGGGAACCGGCTGGGGGGTTGATGGCAATGGGAGATTACAAGGATTGGAGCTTTAAACAGAGAGACCACCAAAGAAGCCCAACTGAAACACCACTAATTACTGACACTGTGCTCCTCCTTGCTGTGACCCTACCCCCCACCTCAACCACCCACCACCTCCGCCTGCCACCCCACGACCTCAGCCCCCCAAATATCCTCTGCTTTGTAAACAAGCACTCCTACATGCAAACAAAGGGCCCAAAAAAATGCAAGTGCCTTCTTTAACATGCCAGGGATTTGCTAATCCCCTCTTACATTTTTTTTATTTTTTTATGTTGCGAAAGAATTGCCATTTCTTTATTTTCCTATTTTCTTTCTTTCTTTCCTTCCCTTTATGCATGCACTAACTTGGACATGAGGGTACCCCCGCTGGCTCTGGCCTCCCCTGTCTTTAAGAGCGACTGTGCTTAAGCCAAACTCTGCCAGATAAAGCTCTTCCCCAGGATTTGAGGATGTCTGAATTTAAAATAACAGGCCCCTTTTCTACTTCTCAGTGGTCTCTCTCCTGCGATTCATGTCATGCTTGCACTTTTCAATCACCAGCCAGGACATCCTTTCAACCAGCCAGCACGAGTGAAAATACTTTAATTAAAAATGTCTCCCAATGCTAGACTGAAGAAAATAACTACTATTCATAGTAGGTTTACTTTACATAGTCAGCAATCCACCCACAATAAATAGTTGAATATGAAACTTTAAAAAGGTAGAAAACAACTGAGGTAAATGTAAAATAAATATATACCGGTATATGTAAAAGCTTGTGAGTTATATGGATGAAGTGAAATACGCTGTTGCTGAGAATCTAGCTACAGCATAGTTTAACCATGTATATTAATCACCTATTTGTTTATGTATAGCATTGTAACCGTGCTCTGGTTCACTGCACACCAATGGACACTGTCAACATAGTGTTCTCTGTTTCCCCCACATATCACATAAAACAAGCCTCAGTCAGTCAGTCCCCTCCTCGCGCTGCAGCCCACCCAAAAACAAACTTTTACTATCCTTGTGGGGACCAAACAATTGATTCCCATTCAAAATCCAATTTCCCCTAACCCTAAACCTAACCTTTAACCTAACCCTAACCTTAACCCCAAACCCCTAATTCTAACCCTAAAGCTAACCCCTATGCCTAAAAAAGCCTTTTCCTTGTGGGGACCGGCGAAATTTTCCCATTTGTCAAAATTGTCCTTGTTTCACTATCCTTGTGAGGACCTCTGGTTCCCACTAAGATAGTAAAACCAAAACACACACACACACACACACACACACACACACACACTCTGGAGTCATCCATACACACTGGCCTCTGAAACTTAATTGTTCCCCTTTGTGGTTCAACACTATACTGGGCTTAATTGGGGAAGGGAGTTTACTACCCCGTCTTTTCCAAATAGAAATAACAGTATTGCTTACACTGCTTTCTCTCTACCATAAAGTGTAATGTGTGACTACCTGGTAAAATGTCCTGGGATCACAGCTTCTAAAGTCTAAGGACACAGTGGTAGAAATGGTCCAAATCTGTATACAATAGGCTCTACTCACCCCTCCTCGATGGTTACTCCGTGCATGATGATGGAGTTGGTTACTTTGACCTTCTCTCTGACGGTAGAGGACGCACCGATCGTTGATCTCTTGATTGATGTCTTGTCTGAGATCTGACAGGAAGCTCCTATTATGCTGTCTGCACCAATCTGGCAGACAATAACCAGACATGGTAGAACGTTGTCAGTAAAAAAAGATCATAATCAGAAAAGACCACACCAGAATGTACACTTCCCTCTGATCCTTTCCTACATTTCACTATATCAGTGAGTCTCTTGATATATCTGTGAGTGATAGGAAAGAGACAGAACAACTATAGGATTATATTTTAGAACTCGACAGTTTGAACATAAAGATAGTGGAGAGGCAACCTACAGATGTAGGATCTTAATTTGATCATCCTGTTGCAGAATATTTGTAATTATAATCCACATAATAATTCACATTTCCTGTTGCTGCAGGATTATTTTCCTGCTGTAGCAAACTGTCTCAAATTAAGATCCTACATCTGTAAGAGCTCCCCAACTGTTGAACAGGGCAAGAGGAGCTGAGGGCCTCTGCTGGTGGCCTCCCCTGCCTCTTACACCCCTTAATCCCCTATGACACGCACCTACTGCATCTTACCTCATAGACAACAAGAATAGCATGTGACTAACCAAAGCACACTCACTCTAATGGCATCCTCACTCACCAGACAACGCTCATTCTACAACCTGCTAATGACTCAGACAGACTCATGGACTCAGTCAGAAAATACACATTGTACCAGACATCTAAGAGAACCACCCATCTAGCTAGCTACTCACCAGACAGCGCACAGAGATCACTGCTGATGGATGGACTGCAGGCTCATCAAACAGCTTAGGGGCCTGGAACACAAGACAATATAGGCTACATGTTCATAGAAGAGGATAAAACAATAATGTCAGTAATGTTCAGGGAGCATGTTCATCACTAAGAGAAATACTTAAAGATAAAGGTCATATCAATCAAATCTAAAAGTTACATGTAAGTTAGGGTTACTAACAGAGCCGACTATTAGTTTGATGTGACAGGTAAAGAAAACAGTGTATGAGAAGAGTATGCTAGCCATGAAGCAGTCAGAAACAGATTAATACATCTAGTGTCACTCTCTCACTTACCAGGCGATTGGCTTCGATGTAGGCCGCTAGCGTGTTGACGCGGTAACACATGCCCTCGTCCATGATGTGCACGTAGCATCGCAGGCGTCCTCCGTGGTAGGCCTCACTCATGTCCCCACGATGGTCATTCCAACAGGACCTGTCCCGGGTTAGCTGCAGCAGCACCTCATCCCTGGACGAGATCTGGATCTCTACACACACAGACAGCAGATAAACACAGGTGAGTGTGTGTGTGCATTAAGTGAGTTACAACCTAACTATGGAAACTCTCTTAAATGTTAAAGTATAGTTTCATTACCATCCTTTTTCTTAAGGTTTTGATCAGCTTCATCGTTGACCTTCGGAGAGTTCATGGATTTAGAGAACTGTTTGCGGACGAGATACGGGACTAACTCTCCCCGAATCGAAGAGATAGATCTTTGAGAAAAAAAACAAAATACAATACTTACTCAATTGCTGAAATAGGTACATTCACTGAAAGTAAAAATACATTTGACCCCCAACTCTTTTGAAAAGTAATAACATAGAATCAGAATGAGTACAACATTTGACCGTGGCAATTGACCTGCATGCGGACCCCCGTTCTACTCATTATATTTCAATGTTGAGTCAGGTATTTCCTCATGGCCAATCAAAACGATAAAAGTAGGAAGTAGGTTGAGGGGGGTGAGAAGGGGGGAAATTCCTTTGTGTGTACATGGATAATGTCCATGTACTGAACACTTTCATAAGTTCTAGGCTTATCTCTGCTCATGAGGGTTACCGGCTAACCAGAAAAGAATGAAACAACCACGATAATTTCACAGTATACACATTATTCATGGCTTTCCTAAAAGGTAAAAAAAGATTAGGCTGAATCATGGTTTCAAACTACCATGTAAGCCCAGTAGGCAATTTTACTTTCTCCTCCTTCTCCATCTCTCCTGCACTGCACTCTATGTCCTTCTCCTCTCTCCTGCACTGCACTCTATGTCCTTCTCCTCTCTCCTGCACTGCACTCTATGTCCTTCTCCTCTCTCCTGCACTGCACTATGTCCTTCTCCTCTCTCCTGCACTGCACTCTATGTCCTTCTCCATCTCTCCTGCACTGCACTCTATGTCCTTCTCCTCTCTCCTGCACTGCACTCTATGTCCTTCTCCTCTCTCCTGCACTGCACTCTATGTCCTTCTCCTCTCTCCTGCACTGCACTCTATGTCCTTCTCCTCTCTCCTGCACTGCACTCTATGTCCTTCTCCTCTCTCCTGCACTGCACTCTATGTCCTTCTCCATCTCTCCTGCACTGCACTATGTCCTTCTCCTCTCTCCTGCACTGCACTATGTACTTCTCCATCTCTCCTGCACTGCACTCTATGTCCTTCTCCATCTCTCCTGCACTGCACTCTATGTCCTTCTCCATCTCTCCTGCACTGCACTCTATGTCCTTCTCCTCTCTCCTGCACTGCACTCTATGTCCTTCTCCTCTCTCCTGCACTGCACTCTATGTCCTTCTCCTCTCTCCTGCACTGCACTCTATGTCCTTCTCCTCTCTCCTGCACTGCACTCTATGTCCTTCTCCTCTCTCCTGCACTGCACTCTATGTCCTTCTCCTCTCTCCTGCACTGCACTCTATGTCCTTCTCCTCTCTCCTGCACTGCACTCTATGTCCTTCTCCTCTCTCCTGCACTGCACTCTATGTCCTTCTCCTCTCTCCTGCACTGCACTCTAGAAACAACAGTTACTCTGTCCATTTTTCTCCTTGAGTGCTCCACAGCAGAGCAGCTTCAAGAGGGAGTGATATAGAGAGAAAGAGATGGAGAGAGAGAGTGGTAGAGAGAGATAGAGGGGGATGGAGGAAAAAGGGGGCTGAATATATAAAAAAAAGTATACTTTGATGCGGGAGAGAAAGAAAGAAATGGGTAGTGCTTTTGAGGTCTCCTGAGTCTGGGTTGACAGATAACATTAAATTATATTTATATCAGGATGACTGGTTAATTAAAATGCAATGGGAAGCAGCAGGAACAAGCGTCTGCAATGCAGCGTATTTATGTAAACCCCCGGTAGAAAATTCCTATTTGGAGGGAAAGTGGGCCGGGCGAGTGAGTGAGTCAATGCACTCACCAGTTAATGCCACCTGCGCTTATTTTCAACACCACTTAAAGGAGCTGTTGGGTCTCCGCACAATGGTGTAACAGTGTAACAAGCACAAAGGGACAGGGGGGACTAACTGGGGTACTGGACTGGGGGGTGGGCAGAGGAGGAGGTTGTGCTGCTGCTTTTGGTCTTGCTGTTGGTGGCGGGGGGGGGGGGGGCTACATCAATAGGATGTACATTTATCAAATTGGGACACACTTCAACTAAGTGCCCTAAGCATCTAACAGTGCCTTCAATTGCTTGGCCTTGATTTTAATTATTAGGTGTACATCTTTTAAACTGGTGGTGGCCACAGAGATCCATTAAATGACTTCTATATGTTGTAAGCTATATGTCATTTTATGGTGGTGGCCCTATTATATACGTTAACCAAAAAAAGTAGAATGGGCAATAAACAACTGAGACTTTCTGATTGGTTCAAAGTGATTGCAGTTTAAAAGAAAACCAGAGTATGAGGAAGTGAGATGATCAACACAGTTGTGATTGAGGTGTACCTCTGACACAAACACACAAGGGGGCTAAAAGCCTAATAAACTGCTCAAGTGGCACATTGTAAAACAAATTAACACCTAACAAGAATACCTACCAGCCTCAAAGCCTTTCCACAGTCACAGCCTGTTCTTACATTAACTCAAATTCAACAAGCATGAACCTTGACAAGAAAGGTGCTGTTCAATATTTCACCTGTATATAGCAATACACTGTATTCACATTTATGTGGATGGTTATCGGTACCTTTTAAAAACTAATTTGATATACATTAAAACATAAAACACAAGCACATTTGTGAGAAAATGACATGACAAAGGTTGCATCCCAAATGGCACCCTATTCCCTATATTGTGCACTACTACAGTGTCTTCGGAAAGTATTCAGACCCCTTCACTTTTTCCACATTTTGTTACGTACAGCCTTATTTCTAAAATGTATTAAATTGTTTTTTCCCTCATCAATCTACACACAATACCCCATAATGACAAAGCAAAAACAGGTTTTTAGAATTGTTTGCAAATTTATGACCAAAAAAAAACAAGTATTCAGACCCTTTCCTCAGTACTTTGTTGAAGCACCTTTGGCAGTGATTACAGCCATGAGCCTACTTGGGTATGACACTACAAGCTTGGCACACCTGTATTTGGGGAGTTTCTCCCATTCTTCTCTGCAGATCCTCTCAAACTCTGTCAGGTTGGATGGGGAGAGTCGCTGCACAGCTATTTTCAGATCTCTCCAGAAATGTTCGATTGGGTTCAAGTCCGGGCTCTGGCTGGGCCCCTCAAGGACATTCAGAGACTTGTCCAGAAGCCACTCCTGCATTGTCTTGGCTGTGTGCTTAGGGTTGTTGTCCTGTTGGAAGGTGAACCTTCACCCCAATCTGAGGTCCTGAGCGCTCTGGAGCATGTTTTCATCAAGGATCTCTCTGTACTTTGCTCCGTTCATCTTTCCCTCGATCCTGACTAGTCTCCCAGTCCCTGCCACTGAAAAACATCCCCACAGCATGATGCTGCCACCACCGTGCTTCACCGTAGGGATGATGCCAGGTTTCCTCCAGCCGTGACGCTTGACATTCAGGCCAAAGAGTTCAATCCTTCGACCTCATGGCTTGGTTTTTGCTCTGACATGCACTGTCAACTGTGCGACCTTACATAGACAGGTGTGTGCCTTTCCAAATCATGTCCAATCAATTTAATTTACCACAGATGCACTCCAATCAAGTTGTAGAAACATCTCAAAGATTATCAATGGAAACAGGATGCACCTAAACTCAATTTAGAGTCTCATAGCAAAAGGTCTGAATACTTAAATAAATAAGGTATCTTTTATTTATTTTGTATACATTTGCAAAAATTTCTAAAAACCTGTTTTTGCTTTGTCATTATGGGGTATTGTGTGAGATTTATGAAGATTTTTTCTTCATTTAATCAATTTTAGAATAAGGCTTTAACGTAACAAAATGTGGAAAAAGGAAAGAGGTCTGAATATTTTCCGAATGCACTGTATATAGGGAATAGGGTGCCATTTAGAACGTAACCAAAGTAAAATGGCCTCACTTGTTATCAGCGAGGAAGTCGACCACAGACTTCTTCAGGCAGTACAGGTGGGCGTCCACAAGGCCAGTTTTGATGTGCATCCTTGGATGTCTGAATGAAAGTGAGAGACAGAGACGTAGGCGGTAAATCAAATCACATTTTAACTAACTAATTTCTCTATCCCTGTGTTGTAACAACATAGTAGTTGTTATAGAAACATTGTATTAACATGTCTTAGCACATACACTAGCAATTGGTTTGGAGTTGAGAGCGATCTTTGCTATCACCCACGTGGGCTAAGGATTATTCCCTATTTCACTTTTATAAGTCAACTGTTAGTAGAGTAATAACAGTGTTACTATACAGGTATAAGGGGAACTTAATGTAAACTTTAACCGTACATGTTTACTGAGAACACAGGTGGTGCCAGTACCACAGTTAATGTCACTGTTCATGGCACAACACACTATAAAGTATACTGTAGCAGACACTGAGGCACCAATCCTCTTTCCTTACATGAGCAAAATCACTTTTTTTCTTCTTTTTTTTTTTACACGTTTTGTTTTTCTTCTCCAGATGTTTTTTTAATTAGATGACAAAGAGTAAAAATAACTACAGTCTTTAATTTTGCTTTTCATTCTACCCCCTTAATTACTGTTGAAAGCAGTACGTGACAGAACAAACAGAACATCTGCTATGATAAAAAAAGAGGTGATATAAAAGTCCTGCATCTGTGTATTGTCCCCTGCCAGCCTCCGTCCGCAGGCTCTGTCCCAGACGCTTGGCTGTCATGGCAACCATGTCCAGTCTGGACTGCAGTGAGTGCTGCATTAACTGGTCAGATGCCAACACCAGCGGACCCCCCAATTGTTTAACAGCCTGCGATTGACATGACAATGCTCTGGGTATAGAGCCTCTGTGTCCAGGCAGGGCAGGCTTCTATAGAGCCCAGGGCTAAAATGGCACCCTATTTCCTATATAGTGCACTACAAGTAGAGCACTATATAGGAAATAGGGTGCCATTTGGGACACAGTCCAGAGCCGGCTGCCTGCCTGCCTGCCCTGGAGGCCAGTCTAATTCATCTGAGAGCAGCAGCAGCCAGGCTGTCTGAGTGATGTGGGAAGTCTCTGAGTTGCAGCTGAAGGCAAAACAAAGGTTGTTGCACCAGGCAGGAAGAAAGAGAGGGGGAAAACGCACAGGATCAGAGATTGTGGTGGCATTGTGTTGAAAAGCTTTAATTGAGTTGAGAATAATTGCTGTTTGGGTTTTATTTTTGAAGTCCTCGGGTGAAATTATCATTATAATATAACTTTCTATACTTGCCGAATGGTGGTTAGTTACAGAATTAAATCTAAGCCTACAGTCGAAATTGCCTAAAGAAGCCAACATCAATTCTAAGACAGTGATGTCAGTTAGCAAAGCTAGCACTGTATTCACAGTAGATATGACCATGGTGAAAGGCCTCTGTAAGCACTGCTCACATAAAGCACTGCTCTGCTCACGTGGCCAGGTGACCCGACTCCATAAACAGCTCCTTGGACAGTACCAAGGAAATGGATCATAAAAGACCATAGCCATACACTCACTAGCCTATCTTCTATATGACCTCTGGATTAGAGCACCAGGTGAAATAAATGAAAACTCCCCCAAACACCCACCATGATCAGAGTGGTGAAGCACCACCATAACGAACTGGCTATCCAGCCTGCCTGGTGGTGTCACATTCAACTGGGCCCCCCATACCCCCCGTCTCCCCTTAATGTGACATTTATGAAGCGAAACCATAAGAAAACCATCTCATCTCTGAGGCTTTATGTGAGAGCCTCCCCTCTCAGTCTTTTCTTGAGTGAAGAATGCGATTTGAAACATTGAGAATGAGTCAGGAGGTCTGTTTGGCCATGCAGATTTCAGAACCAGATGCCGGGCCGTGTAAATCACATTGTGAGGGGGAGGAGGGTAAACAGGCAAGAGGTAAATTATGACAACTTTGAGCCATTCCATTAACCAGCTCACAGAGGGGTCATGTGTTGAATCCACCAACAAGAGACTGAAAACAAAGACAGGAATATTCTAGCACATCACACCACCCACATGTGGTCCCAATGTGCTCCTCCAGTCCACACACAGACCAGAGCAGAGCAAACAGGTTGTCATATCCTGTGTGTGTGTGTGAACTGTACGCCAAATGCAGATGGAAGTAAATGAGATTTATAGGAACACCCAGCATCTGACATCATTGTTTGGCACCTGTTGGGCCAGGCAGGCAGGCAGGGAGGCCAAGCAGGAGAGATACCCAGGGATCAGTGTACCGTGGCTGGTGGTCAGGTGTGGTGTGGCGAGTATGGGAGGGGTTTGGGGGGGTGGGGGGTGACAGGTGCCCTTTATGGAGCAGGACACCATGGTTAAACACAAGCAGGAGCGGCTACAGGCCTAGTCTGTCCGTCCAATGGGAAGGCCTACATGCTGGAGGAAGGATCCCAATTTGGGTGATAATTTTAGAAGAAATACAATTCAAATCGTTTGGCCATAAGCCACTGCATTTCCCAAACAAGTAAACAAGTCTAATGTGTGATTCCTGGTAGATCTAGGGGGCCTGGCTGATGAGTGAAACAGAACATTGTTGCAAAACTCCTCAGGCTAGGGTGATTCACTCCCAAGCTTAATGACTTACTACTAAAAACCTCTAAATGAGCACAATCCACATGGCAGCAGTGCTGTGCTGTGAGGTAATGGTGCTTGTGCTTCTCTCTGAGGGGACAGTGCTAACTGCTGTTCTGGACCTAGTCTGTGTCAACACCACTGCAAGGCCCAGACAAATTTGCTCAAGCATCCAGCTACACTGCGCTTTACTATAAAGACCTAGGCTCTTTGTCCTCTCTCGTGTCTGAACACAGAAGGTAAATACGAACGGCCCAAAAATGTCCAGACTTGGGTAGTTAGTTGGGAAAATGTGCAGTTAAATGTATAGATTCCCTGCCATCGGACAATACATTGACGCTATTTAAAGAGAAGAATGTTTGAGGAGTGTGCTTCATGGCACACAGTGGACAAGACACATACTGTATTACTTGTTTTGCAATGGTACTACATTCTTCAAATATATTTAGTGTTGCAGGAACCAGGTACTGTAGACCTCAAGTGATTGACCAAATCCATGGTTTCATCCTGAAAGAGAATGAAACTATGGTAGTACATACTGTATGAAGACTATGACTATGAAACCTCTGCTGAGTTTACAGTGGAAAGTGGAGCAACATCGTATGCAAGAGCAATCTGCAGGAGCCTTCACACTGTCAAATCAATTCAGGGGCCAACTCATATCACATGTGTAGCAGGTTTTCAGCTTCTATTTAGCTCACATGTGGAAATGGGTAGTGAAAGGTGTCACCACTCACAGACTACTAGTATGGGGAAAATGTGGTGGTAATCTAGGACAGGGGTCAAGAACATGCAGTTTGTGGACTGCAACCAACAAATACTGGTAAGAGAACTGAAGAGATAGTTATCTTTAAGGGCTGAAAACTAACTTAAGATCCTAACCCAAGATCTGCATTTGTAACTTGCCCATTCGCATAACTCATGCATTGATATCAATGGTCCCAGGTTAGCAGTACCACAGGACAGGACAGCAGCATGTGTGACAGCAGTCCAGAATTCCCATTCCATACGTCACCCAGCCCATGTCTGTATAAATACAACGGCAGACAAGTAAAGACTCTGGAGACAGCTCAGACAAACAGCCAGGGAACGACTGGAGCTGGTGGGGGAGACTTTCAGACGTCTAACACCGTGTTCAAACTTCCTACGCTCAGGAAAAATAGGGTTAATGGGGGAAACAGAGTCAAAACAGACTTTTGACATCTTAGGCTGAAATAAGCGACAAGGCGTCGATACTTAGGCTAGCTTAAGAGTTAGGCTAGCCAACAGCTTTGAGATATCACAAAACTCACTACACCTCAGTCTCTCAATAAGTGGCCTAGTGCTCATTGACAACTTATCTTTTAAAGCTCAACTAGGGTAGGTTTACATTTTCTTATCCAGAGCGACTTACAAATTGGTGCATTCACCTTATGATAGCCAGTGGGACACCCCCTTTACAATATTATTTTTTTTGGGGGGTGGGGTAAGGGGGGGTAGAAGGACTACTTTATCCTATCCCAGGTATTCCTTAAAGAGGTGGGGTTTCAAGTGTCTCCGGAAGGTGGTGAGTGACTCCGCTGTCCTGGCGTCGTGAGGGAGCTTGTTCCACCATTGGGGTGACAGAGCAGCGAACAGTTTTGACTGGGCTGAGCGGGAACTGTGCTTCCGCAGAGGTAGGAGGGCCAGCAGGCCAGAGGTGGATGAACGCAATGCCCTCGTTTGGGTGTAGGGACTGATCAGAGCCCAGCCAACAGCGAGTTGCAGTAATCCAGACGGGAGATGACAAGTGCCTGGATTAGGACCTGTGCGCTTCCTGGTAAGGCAGGGTCGTACTCTGCGAATGTGTAGAGCATGAACTCAGGATCGGGTCACGCCCTTGATTGTAGCGGAGTAACGACAGGGTGTTGTCCAGGTCCACCAAGGCTCTTTGCACTCTGGGAGGAGGACACAACAGAGTTGTCAACCGTGATGGCGAGATCATGGAACGGGCAGTCCTTCCCCGGGAGGAAGAGCAGCTCCGTCTTGCCGAGGTTCAGCTTGAGGTGGTGATCCATCATCCACACTGATATGTCTGCCAGACATGCAGAGATGCGATTCGCCACCTGGTTATCAGAAGGGGGAAAGGAGAAGATTAATTGTGTGTCGTCTGCATAGCAATGATAGGAGAGGCCATGTGAGGATGACAGAGCCAAGTGACTTGGTGTATAGTGAGAATAAGAGAGGGCCTAGAACTGAGCCCTGGGGGACACCAGTGGTGAGAGCACGTGGTGCGGAGACAGATTCTCGCCACGCCACCTGGTAGGAGCGACCTGTCAGGTAGGACGCAATCCAAGAGTGAGCCGCGCCGGAGATGCCCAACTCGGAGAGGGTGGAGAGGAGGATCTGATGGTTCACAGTATCAAAGGCAGCAGATAGGTCTAGAAGGACGAGAGCAGAGGAGAGAGAGTTAGCTTTAGCAGTGCGGAGAGCC